AGGACACTCAGGCTGCAACTCTGGTGAAATCAGCCTGTCTCTCTTCTACCTCTCTCTCTCCTTCTTTCTTTCACACACACACATACACACACACACACACACACACACCTTCCTTTTCTTTCACTGCCAGCCATTTCTATTTGTCTCCCTCCATTACTTTCTCTTCCTCGCCCATTGTCCTTCTCCTTCTATCCTTGCATCACCCTTGGCGCACCTCTCTGCCCATCTCTCTCCATTACTGTGTTACGTTCCTCATCTCCCGCCACCCACTTCCCAGGCGAATGTAAATATGTCATCTCACTTCTAGAACCCTCATCGTGCTTATATCTGACTTTTGTTTGGTCTTCACCCACACATTCGGAGGACCTCTCTGTCTGTCTGTCTCTCTTTCTCTCTCTCATCCATCCTTTGAGACACCGAATACATTTGTGATTGAGGCGGCACCTCTCTTCTCGTGCCCTCTCCAATTAAAGGGGAGATTTACAGGGGGAATCAGTCAGAGGGCAGCCTTGGAGGACAGCTTTAATAAGGGCTCCGTGCTGCACTGCTCACTTTTTCATGCTCTCTCTCTCTCTTAGGAAGATGTCTTGCCATTTAGCAGGTGTGAGGACAGGAGAAAGGAGAAACAGGTTACATGATAAACCCCCCCCGACAGGAACATTAAACAGTGGCCCAGCTGTTAAAGGCCACCCAACCAACAATGATCAATGCCAATTTGTGGGTGCCCCAATGAAATAATCACATAAAAAGCAAGCTCTAGAACTTAACTGCTAAGCCACAAATTATTCAAGCTCATGCCTTGAGACTCAGCTGCCACATTAGTTCCAGCAGCCATCCCATCCATCTTGTAGCTCACTAGCGGTTGGTGGGCCCACAGTGTAGCTTCACAACTTCATGATATTGATAGCAAGCCTTAACAAATAATGGCTTGTTGTTTAGAAAAGATTGCTCCCGAAACGCTGCCATCCTCCCATGCCTTTGTACTTAGCGCTGTATGTGCTCATCCCTATGGGCCACCTGTTTGCCACAAGCCAGAGCATCCAGCCTCAACCCCCACCCATCCTCATCTACTTCAACCCACTTGATGAGCTAGATAACACAGTATGGTGGAGAGCACACACAGGATGCCCCCCAGAGAAATAATCTGGAGATACAACGAGCGAATACGAAGGATAAGCAGCAGGACCTAGTGCTGGCAGGCGGCCTGAATGATGAGAAGAGAAGGAGAAGAAAAGAAAGAGGGCCAGAAATGGAGAGAAAAAGAGAATTGGGGGCAACATAGGGAGTGAGTAAAGGAAGGGTAGGTAGATGAATGAAGAGGAGATTGAGAGGGAAGGGTAAAGCCAGTAGGGGGTAGTCTTCATTAAAGGACGCAGAAAGGAGAGAGCAAGACACAGGGATGTGAGACGTACGGAGTGAGTAGGTGGAAGGATGTGAGGGGATGAGAGTGGAGAGGAAAGGAGGAGGAGCGGGCATTAGAGGGAGACTGAGGCATCTGCTGCTGCTCCACATGGATGTTTATCCAGCCTGTGGCTTCCTGAGAGACACATAGTAGAACTTCTCTCCCTGAAAGCCCCCTCTCACATCACTCTGTGGGCCTGCGTGTTTGTGTGTGCCAGATACATTTCTGCGCGGTCTTTGCATGTATTACGCGCTGGCCCAGTATGTGTGCTTGTGGAGTGCGCCTATCTAAGTATAGCATTGGTGTCTCTTTTGCATGTGTGCTTGTTTGCTCTTCCCTGGTTCGTCCTGTAGTGTAAAGCTGCACGACCCCTTTAGCAGGCTGGTGGTTGTGCTCAGCCCTGGATGAGGGGGAGGGTTGGAAGTGGATGGAGCAAAGAGAAAAGGATGAGTGTTTATATTTAGCTCCATGCACAATCAGTTGGGAGGCCAGACTGGAGATTCGAAACTCTGCTTAATACTTACAGTACGCACTGTTAATACACACTGACCACAGAGCAGTTGACTTGGAGCACAGAAACCATGTTCAGGCTAACAGCAGCTACAGCATGAGAATTGCCTCTCAAAATGGAGAGCAGAGAGCTCTGTGTTGCAGCGTGGCTGTTATGAATATTTGAAGCAGCCATATCGCTAGGCTCCTGGTTGTTGCTCGAGGGGGGAAACATGGGCGCGGGCACAGAGTGGTTGGCAGTGCAGAGAGGCTGGTATGGAGGGGGGTGGCAGGCAGTGGCGGAGGCAGCGGCCCATCCTGAGGCTGGCAGCAGGCGGCTCAGTGAATGAAAGCAGGGCAGGTCATGTGTGGGTGGGGAGGCGGGACTCTCCTGCTGCTGAGACAGATGCCACGGTTGTTAGGCTTAATTTCTTCTGCCAAGCACCACCCAGCACTGGCCAAAAACAAACTCAAATGCTTGTGGCCAGTGTGTGTGTGTGTGTGTGTGTATGTCTGTTTGTGTCTGTGTGCATGTGTCAATAGAGAGAAAGAGCACTGTTTGATTCGGTATCAGGCTCTACCAGGAGCACACACAAGCAGAGCAGTAATCGTTTACTGTTCAGTCCCGTCCACCTTCCATCTACTCCTCTGTTCTCTGAGTCTCTTTCTCAGTATCTCCATTTCTCACCATCCATCTTCCTGACTCTTTCTAGTCTGTCTTTCTCTTTCTCTCTCCATCTTTACTTCATCTCTCCCTCTGCAGCAAAGCTGGCTCCCACTGCAGTGAAAAAGGAAAAGGCAGAGAGACGGTGGGGAGGTGGTGGGGGCACATAGAGACTGAAATAAAGAAAGAGAAGTGAGAGATGAAGAAAGAGCAGCGTGGTATTTGGCTCAGCGTTGCATTATTGGCTCTGGTTGATCTGATCTGAAAAGATTACAGGAATACAATACTAACAAATCACCGTTCTGCCTCTTGAGCCTAACACCCTGTCACTTGCACACAAACACAACACACAAACGCTAACTCCTTCTCACGCACAAACTTACACCCTCCCCTGAGCCGTCACCCACACCTGTGGCCTGTCTAGCCATTCTGTGGTCGCTTCTCTTTATACCTAACATTAGATATAATGTCAACAGTTGAGCGCACACGTCATTCACTACACCGCTGCTTTCCTTGACAAGAGGCATCACCCATGCAGCCAGAAATAATTACCTCTCGACTAATAATTACTAAAATTAATACAGCAGCAAAAAAAGAGATTCTAAAAGCTGAATGCATTCCAATTTACCCCCACACTGTGTTCATTATAAATGAACACTTATTTCTTCTCCTCCACACGCTCTGTTGCTCTTTCTTTCTCTTCACTCCTCTCTTGACTTCTCTCAGCCCAGCTGGGTTGGAGGCTGCCTGGTGGGGGCGGGGTGGCAGCCTGTGCCAAGGCCAGTGCGACATGTTTTGACTCTTTACTTACACATTAATTCAAGTATTGATCATGCTTGCATTAAGCGCAAGGAAAGAGAGAGAGAGCAAGGAAGTCCAAAAACCCACAAACAGAATACATCAGAAACAACAGCGACCATTGCCATTCAGGAAACCAAAATGCTGCTTACACACGAGCATGCACACACACAGACACATAACCCATAAACTCCCAAGGACGAACACATCATATATACTTAGACACCTCTACAATTGAAAACAGATTCAAAGCATCACAGCAGCCCCAAACCCTTGCTTCCGTCCCATCTTACTGACAAACACACACAATGACACACCACCATCACCACGTTCATTTCATCTGCAGCACAGCAGGTCTTTGGATGCCGATCCACAAACATTGATTCACACTTCGACAGCACTTATTTATTTATCTATTTACTCAGTCATTCTCTTATACATTTCACGTCAAAGAAGTGCCAGCTGCTGAGGCTGATGTCTGGTAAGTGATTGACTCATGTAGGATTTTTATTTTTCTGTTAACTCATTGGACACAAAAAGGAGAGCAAAGTTTCTATTGTTTGTTATGGAAGATGGTGCTGCTACTGTGTATTTTTCCATCAATCAAAACAGAAAAAAAAAACTCTCTATCTCCTGCTGTATCATGGTCTTCACCGTAAATTGTCAATGCAAGACTTTCTTGAATAAAACTGAGCTGCAGCACAATTGAATTACAGTGCTTTAAAAAACGAGAAGCTGTTGCACATGTGCATCACATTACAAATGCTACACTTTCCATTGTGTAGCACAGCAGTAATCTCTCTCTCTCTCTCTCTCTCTCACACACACACACACACACACACACACACACAATGGTGAAAGCACTACCAAAGCGCGTCATGGTGTCTGGGTGGTAGACAGGCTTCGGAGACAACAACGGTGAAAATTAAATTCCATTTAAGGCTAATCCCATTTCCAACCTCTGCTGAGTCTTACTGCTATTGTGACAGTCAAGGAAATCTGTCTCAATTGTTCCATTGCGGGAATTGATGGTGAAACACGATACAGAATAAATAATGGAGGTTGATCACCAAGAGACAGGCCCTGAAGGAGACTACGACTGGGTCAGACAAGCATGCTGTAGCTAAGGGTGGTGGAGAGGGCATGAGACAGAGCCATGCCAGACAAGAAGGTGAGAGAGAAGAGGGGACAGTAAACAATGTGTGTGCATTTATGCCATACTAATTCTCTTGACATTTCACGGGCAGTATTGTTTTGCTGCTGCCGTTACTGACAGAGACGAGATGAGACGGGGAAAGATTTAAGTGTAGCACAGGCTGCAGGACAGACAATAGCCATGTCCAAAATGTCCCTACATCGAAACGCCACCAGTGTCACACACATAAACAAACGTATACACACAATTCTCTGCGTTGAAAGTGAATTGGCCATTGGCATCCCAAGGGAAAGAGAGCAAGAATAAATTGACTTGCTACTCCCTAGTAACAGCTCTTCTCTAATCGAGCACTGGCATAATTTAGTGTTCCTCGCCCTACAAGGGTAAATATACTCATCTATTACATGAAACAAAATGGTTCCTAGTTACAGTGTGCCAAGAAGGTCGGGATTGTCATTTAATAGAGTTAAATCTGAAATGAAAATACAGACCTTATTTTTGGTACCCTGATGATGTCAAGAGGCAAAGATAGAGAACCATCTCTGAAAAATAAAGCACAGAGTAATACCACTTGCTATAATTACCCAGAACATGAAATGAGGTGTTCAAATGTAGCTACATTTATGTGCCAAAGAGACTAGAGAGATGCTCATCCCCTGGGCTCATCTAAAATGATATAGAAACGTCAGTAGACTGACACATAGAGATGGATGCGCAAACACCATCCACCTACTTTTCAAATTTGCATTCATTTCACATCCAACTCGAAATTCACATCCAATTTTACAGTCAGTTCACGTCCAAGCTGGCACTCAAATTCAGCCACTTGTGCATGCAGTCTGTATTCGCGGGTCAGTGTGGTTAAAGCTGACACTTTCTGTCAACACACCCATCACTAACCCCCATTACTCGCTCACTTAGTCTCTTCCATCATGGCTCACTCATTCATTTGCCGGCACGCGCACACTTGCACCAACGGCCACGCAATCTGCTCAAACACACAGTCATCACACACTTGTTTGTTCAGCAATTTTCTCATTTGGCCTTCACTTGATCACAATATTCTCATCCACTCATTCGACATTCGTTCATGGTCCCAGCCACTTGTACTCTCATCTGGTCCCCCCCGATCTCTGCCACCACTTCTCAGTCACATGCTCGCCGCTCTTGCTCTCACCCACTCACTCCTTCTACTTCTCACTCATTGTTCAAAGTCACACACTTTCTCTCTCTTTCTCTTCCTCTCTGGCTGTCTCTGTCACACGCTGCTCATCCCTCTGTCCCTCCCCTTCATTAACCCCCTGGATGACACAGTCCCTCAACTTGCCTCTCTGTTCATCCTCCATAACTCTCTCTGGCTAAGACTGCTGTCTCCCTCTCTGTATAGATTGCCTCCACCCATTCCAATAAAAGATTTAAGAGCTCCTTTAAGTGCTAATCAGGTTGTCATCCGTGCAGCCAAAATCAGAGGCTTGATAAATAAAGGCTTGTCTCTGTTGGCTAGCGGCTCACTGTGTTTAAATAGGTGACACCGGAGTGCATTCTGAGCGCACCAGATCGATGCCAGAACCCCTGGGGTCCCCTGAAACGGTGAACGGAGACAAAGCTTAGCGCTCGCTAATAATGCGGGGATAGGCAGCTTGCTCCCTATTTTCGGAAGAACTATCCCTGGGCTTGTCCTCCACTCCTCTCGTTCTTTTTTTCTTTTTCTCTCATCACGACAGGTCTTTCCAACTTGCCAGTTGGCAGAATTGCATAAACATAGAGACCCAAAATCTTTATTTTTGTACATTACACAGAAGGTTAAGCTGTTGCGCTGAGGGAAGTGCATTAAAAAATACCAACAACAATCACTCCTATCTTCAATCCCCAACCAGCACACTCTGCTGTCCAATCATCCCATCACATCCCACTATGGCCAATTTGCCGCTATGCCCAATCTCTCCTCCGCAGTCAAACTGTTCGCCATCACTCGAAATAGCATATCACCAGCCCTCGCTGTCACCCGCCATGCCATATCACCAAAACTCCCACCCTCATCCAATATATCCAGCACCAGGCCCGGCTCGACAGACGTGCTATCACTGACCCATGCCTACACAGCACTACAACGTGATGCTGCCCCCTTAACTCTCCTCAGCCCCCCACCTCATCTCAACTTGTGTCCACTTACATTCCCTCCTATGAAAGCTACACCCTGCAATGGCAATATCAGGGTCCACCACTCCCTCGGTGGTTCTTTTCCCTCACTTTGATTTTCTGTCCATCAAGGGGGCGTGGATTAGCGGTCTCTTGTTTATCTGCTCGTCAGTTTTATCTATCCATCACTAAGCCATCCGCTGTGCTGCAGCGGCCTCAGCACTGCATTAATCCCCTATCAGCCAGCCAGCCATCCATCACCCCGCTGTCTATCACGTCAGATCCATCATCCGCCCATCTGTCTCACACTGCCCATGCTCGGAGATGATCTCCTCAGAGAACCCCACTGGCGAGTCACAGAGGGTGGAGGGGACAGCGGGGCAGGAGGAAATTACAGGGAAATGCAGAAACAGAAGACAGGAGAAAGGGAGAGAAGATTATACCCTACCCTTCCCTCTCCCTCTCTCAGAATACATCCTGCTGAAAGCATTCTCTTCATGCCACTACATGCTTATTAGCTGTTGTGTTTGTTTTCTTGTAATTTGTTTGTTTTCCTCGCCTGCTAATTCCAGCCAGTGGGAGAAGTGCCAGTAGAGGGAGAGATAGCTGCTGGGGACGAGGGTCATAAATCCCATAAAACCCCGATGTAGTGAGAAACCATGGCCCCTCCTTCTCCAGCACGTTGGAGCAAGGAAGGGATATTGTCTAAAGCCTAGAGCTTTAAAACAGCTCAATATCTGGGTTCATCGGGGGTCATTTGTATTTCCATCCATATCTGCTGCCATCGGAAGGTGAGTGAGGGGGGCACATGAGCAGGAGAGAAGGTGAGTGTAGGGCAAACGTTAGTACACTTGCAGCGGAAGGGGAGTCCACACAGGTGCATGTAAGTGCAAGAGAGAGTAAACAGGCACATATTAGGAGAACCAGAGAGCACATAGACATTTAGGTCTGTAAACTGCAAATGGTAAGTGAACAAACAGGTATGTATGTGGGCTGAAGCACCATAATTATTTAAACTAGTTGACAAATAGAGTCTGTGAGGGCAGAGCAAATTGTTTAGAGGGTAACGGAGAGAGCACAGAAGAGAAGTTAATGTAGATACTTTCAGACTGTTTGTACAGAGAAAAATCACAGAGGAAGTTAAATATGCAGTCCAACAGCTTTGCAGAGACCAAAAGTAGTAGATCTGTGTGAAACAGTTAATTTAAATACACACTAAAACTTGTTCACTATGAATAACCACCTCAAGGCGATTGTGCGATTATGGTTTGCAGTAATTCGATTTGCTCGCCGCTGTTTACATGATTTGTTTGATACAAAGTAGCTGAGCACCACAAGTAGAACAGTGAAACTATGTGTCTATGTTTTGTTGTGAGGATGAATTTACAGAACCCCGTAACACAGGCTCTGTCACTTGCAGAGTTAGTTGTAACATGAAAGCCACTTTGCAGTCGCCCCCCAAAAATGTGTGTTCTGCTTTGTTTTCCTTTGTTTTCCACCACTAGCCATGCCGTTGTTTGTACAGAAACACCGCTTTGCACGGAATCAAAACACCAAAAGAAATCAGAATGGAGGTGTGTGCCTGAGTACAGCAAAAGATTGATTTTGAGGTCAGACAATTGAGTTATCCTTTTTTCAATTTTGGCTTTAATTCAACTAAGATAATCCAGTTAACACATTTGCATGACAACTGCAATAATTTGAGTACTGCCTTAATCTTGTTATAATCAAGTTACTGGCATTCCTGTAACCTCTCTGAGTGTAAAGTAGTTATGTGGTATAAAAGAAATTCAAGTATACTTTCTTGCAATGTTACATGGCTCTGTCCACAGAAACTACAAAACATAATGAATTACATTAAATTTTACTTTTTACTAAATTCAAGTACCTCCCTGTCCTTTTTGCCTGTAAACCTAAGGTTCAACTTATTAACTATACAGTACAGTATAATATAATGCACAGCAGAAATGCCAGTAGAATACAGAGTGTTGCCCTTTGCATTTGTATGAACTTGTATGTTAATTCTGACCTGAGTCGGAGTCCATGTCATATGATTAAATAAACATATGAAGTAGGAGTTTAAATTCCTGCTGTATTTCATTACATGGCTAATTTTACCCTCCAGTAGCAAGCGACCACTGCTCTCGCTGGATTTTTCTGCAATCTACAATAGCTTTTAGGATCTGCAAAAGTATATAGAATTGCATACAGTACAATGTTACTGTAGACTTACATGCCAGGACTCGGAAATTCGTCATTTTCATTGCTGACGATCTCTCTAATCCAGTCAATTGTTTTTACTCCTGTGTACTCAAATAGCCTTGTAAGATTACAGCAGGGACTGCACAATGTCTTGTGAATAGCACTAGCTCTATAAATGCAGCTAGCCAATTGACAGCTGAGATTCTCTTCTGTGTAATATCAACATCGGTGGGCCTCCATTACACATGGAATAGGAGGAAAGAGATGTGTGAAGCTTGTGCTTTTATCCATAATGAGCCTAAACAAACATCTCCAAACAAATGTTCTTCTTCTACATGCAGCCGAATCAGATGAGACAGCTGTCAGAAAGCATCCATATCCATCCTGAGTTAGCTCTAATTGGAGAACTACTCTCCCTCCTCTGGCCCTATTTGACAGATACCGCTCAATCACCACACCGGTGCTGAACGCTGCTCCATCCCGACAAAATACGGTCTGCAATTACAGAGGATGCTGCTGTTACAAAATGATACCACACACACTGCACACATATAAACACAGTACTCATTATGCATATACTGTAATATACTTCACGCATGCTCAGGTGTATCAATGTTGAATGTGTATGTGCTGAGCCTGCATGCGATCTGTCATTTTATAACAGTAGCATTCCTTTGCTTGTACAAAAACAAAAAGGTATAAATTGTAAATGCTGCTATTCCAATAAAAGGGTGAAACATGCAGTTCATAACAGATGCAATTACCATTTACACAAATATACAGAGAGAGAGGAAGAGACACACAAACATGAACACTCGCACAGCCTCATAAACACATACCTACATTATTTCGTACACACTGAATTAATCAGCTCTTAGACAAATAGCTGAATAAATACTGTGGATAACCAGATCAATATTGTACACTCAATTCATCTGAGTTCACAGAGATGTCAAATTCTGCATAGTTCTATAGCACACTGATTAAACTGGCACCACATTAATTCAGTAAATCAATAAAACCAATCTTTCAAATAAATCAAGTCGCATGGACGGCTAAAGCCAATTGGAGGGCAAGAACACATTAAAATTCCCTTGCTCCAACTGCATATCTATGTCAAGCAGGCAGCACACTGATTTGCTATGTGGATTCCACAATTTGTGGAATGAAAACGATTAATCCATGAAACAATAACCAGGGT